GAAAAGAAAAAAAATAAGAATATTTGTTAAAAGCATGAAATGTTGTCTGATATCAAGAAAAGTAAAGAATTATTCAGCTTTTGAACAATTGACTAATTTTCCTATAGCCATGTGTGTTGAGTTGATGTTATATTTAAGAGTCTTTTCTTTTGTTGTTCACTCATATGAAGCTGAGTCAGATCTGCTGCATAAAGTGAAGATACCGCCTATTGTGCAAGTCTGCTTTATGGTGACTCTCTACTTTACCAACACCTGGTAGTTTCCTACTTTGTCGTCTTATTTTTTAGTTTTGCTATAAAAGGAGCCTAGCTACTCAGTTCTAAACAAGCTTTTCTTTTGATTATAAAGAACTTGGATCCTCTCTTGAGCCCAAGGAGAGGATCCTCCTGACCAAAGGTCTTGGGCCATTGGATGAAAATTCAACGACTACAAATAAGAGGGTCTCTTTAAAGTTATAATAATTATAATCATTGGATTTTCATCAAACGGTCCACGTCCTTTGGTCAGGAGGATCCTCTCCTTGGGCTCAGGAGAGGATCCAAGTCCGATTATAAAAACTCTAGTCTAGAGTTTAAGAGTGCAAATCAATTAAAGTGTGAGTGTGCTTTTGCCCTTTTGCAACAACCACTTTGTTTGGAGATATTATTAAGGGTAAATATCAGTTTACTACCCTCAAGTTTCGTGGTTTTCAACATTTGGTACATGAAGTTTTTTTCGTCATAGAGTCATACCTAAAGTGTTAATTTTGGGACACTCTCATACATCTGTTAGTAAAACTGTTAACTCTTCCATTAACTGATGACGTGGCACCCATGTGGACAATGATTGGATGCCACGTGTCATTAATTTGTTTTTAAATTAATTAAATATTAAATTTAAAAAAAAAACCATAACGCCTTCTTCTTCCCTACCCTCCACCACTCCACCCCATCCACTCATTGGAAAAGCTTAATCTGCGTGCAGAGATGGTCGTTGTCCGTGGAGATCCTCAACACCTATGGCTGAGACCTAGAGCTCGCGATCTCTTCCTTCACTATAAAAAGCATTTCAAAACTCAAAAACTTTTTCCCTTATTTATTCTTTGCCAAAAATGGAGCCTTCAACTCTCAAACTAGTTATGGTTCAAGGTCCACGGAATGGCGAAACCCTAGAATTCGTACCCGGATCCAAGGTCGAAATCTACCGCGTTGTTCGAGGTAACAACCTCCCGATCAAATACTCCGACATTTCCTCCAAACACCTATCCATCAAATCTGAATCAGGCAAATGGGTTATCTGAGACCTCGACTCCTCAAACCGCACGGTTTTGAATGGGTTGGATATCCCCCCAAATACGCTCGTGGATCTCACCGACGGCGACGAAATCAAAATCGATGAGTACACTTTCATCGAGGTGAGGATCGCCGACTATGAAGAGAGCTAGTTGAGACGGAACCCTAGGCGTGCGGCGACCGCAACAGAAGTTACTGCGGTGCCGATTTCAGAGAGTCGGGGAAGAAGAGGTAAGGTTGCGAAGGAAAGCAAAGAGATAGCAGAGGAGCGAATGTTGAGGAAATTGAGGTCGCAGGGAAACGAGGAAGGGTCCGACCGCTCAGAGCTAGGGTTTTGAAGACTGAAGTTGAGGAGGAGAAGCCTGTGGAGGAAAATTTGGCACGGTAAGTGAGTACGAGGCAAACTCAGAGCTCCAGGATCGAGGAATTGGGGAAGATCCCAAGTATCGCCTAAACCTCCATAGTTTCCGATGCCAGCGATGGGGACTGCCTTCGCCCCATTTCTCAACCGTCGTACCAATCTGGACAGTCGTCAAACCCCATCGCGGCACCCGGGTTTTTAGGGGAAAGGAATGGGCTGGGTTTTTGGGGAAGGAGAAAAGGCTTGGTGGTAGGGTGGGTATCAGGGAAGGGGAAGGGTGTCGGTGGGTGAGGGGTGGAGAGGATGGAGGGGTGGAGCCGTGGAGGGAGTGGAGGGGATGGCGGGGTGTCGGGTGGGGAAGACAAAGGCATTCTGGGATTTTTTTTTAAATTAATTAATTATTTTAATATTTAAAAAAAAAATTAATGACACGTGGTGCTTAGTCATTGTCCACATGGGCGCCACATCATCAGTTAATGGAAGAGTTAACAGTTTGACCAACGGATGTATGGGATTGTCCCAAAATTAACACTTTAGGTATGACTCTGGGACAAAAAAAACTTCATGTACCAAATGTTGAAAACCACGAAACTTGAGGGTAGTAAACTGATATTTACCCTATTATTAATATAGGTTTGCTTTATTCTTCTTATATCTCTTTTAATTTAGGTATTTAGTATCCCGTTACTTTATATTTATTTGCTTCAATTGTTATTCTTAATTTTATTATGTTTATACATATATTGTCTTCTGATTTATAAATTTAAACAAGATTAGATGTGTAACATCATACATTGACCAACGGAGAGGGGGTGATGTGCCTGATATGTACATGCCCACCTCCATTTAGCACGAGGCCTTTTGGGAACTCACTGACTTCAAATTCCATCGGAACTCTGAAGTTAAGCGAGTTCGGACGAGAGCAATCCTATGATGGGTGCAAGAACTTCTCATTAAAGTGGGGGAAGTCGTCAGTGAGATGTACCACTGTTTAGCCGAGCTTAGGCGTTTGTTAGGTGTAGGCAGTGTGTTGTCGATATATCAACTAGGGAACAGAGAAGTAGTGAAACTCTCTTCTAATGGCAAGCTTAATTAGATCTTTGAGTAAAGGGTATGTAGGTAAAAACCATGTTCATTTGTCCAAGTAACAGGGTTTTCTTCAACCTCTAAAAGAGATGTTTGTTGTCTTTGGCAAGATCCTTATAAAATTCGCCAACATAGTTAAGACTTCCCGAGAATCTTTATAGTTGTTTTTTATCCGAAATTTCATCCGGAAATTTATCAGCAAAAGCAACGGCAATCAAGGGGTAGAATTAAAGTTTTCTGGATATTATGACAAAAATCGAACTTTTTTTTAAAAGAGTTTCATCTTTCAAGCTGAGAGTCTGAGACCACTAAACATGCAGTTTTAACCATTTTCAAGAAAATACTGAATGTTTAAATGTTGTTCTAAGGATCAATGTCATCAATGGTAAAAGTGGTTTAAGAGTTGAATATATCATTCATAATATGTTGAAACTCAGAAGGGGCATTCTTCAGTCTGAAGAGCATTACGTTCTATTTGTAATTTCCAAACAGTAAATTAAAAGCAGTCTTATATTTATCCTTTTCAGCAATTTGAATTTTCCAATAACCAGATTACATATTGACTTTTGAAAATGTTACAGCTTAGACTTAAGGGCTGGTTTGGTATTGCTGTGCTTTGAAAAAAAACTGCTGTGAGAATAAGCGGCTGTGCTGTGAGAATAAGTGGCTGTGAAATAAATCAGCTGAGTGTTTGGTAAACTTTTTTGTAAAAGTGCTTTTGGAAAAAAAACAGTCTGATAGTGGGTCTTTTCAGCTTATTCTCACAGCAGCTTCTAAAATAAGCCATTTTTTTTCAGTTTACCAAACACCTAAAACCCTCACAGCTTTTTTTCATGGGTGCTTTTTTTTTAAGCACCTCATTCCCAAACTAGGTCTTAGTCAATCTAACAAATTCTTCTTATTAGGAATGAGATACCTTATCCATCTGAAATTTTTATCGAATGGTTTAAATTTAGGACTAACCGGAGGGCTCCTCGTTCCAGTTGAGCCTCTTTCTCCACATAAAACCCTGAGCAACTCTAATGACTAGCTCTTGCGAATCAGCTTATTTTCAAGAAGCTCGATTATTTCTTTTTTACATATTTTTATTAACCTGTTATTCATTTGAATGTGTCGAGCCTTTATTGGAATATTCTTTTCTTCAAAATCAGACTCATTGGGTAACTCAACAATGTGTCTTTTACGATCCAAAAAAAGCACTGGAAATACCTGCAAAAACTAGTCTTTCGAAATCCTTTTGTATTGACTCAACTTTCTTTTTAATTGTTTCAGTAAGAAGTTGTCTTTCAGTTTTTTTAAAATGAATTTACTCTTTCAGAGAACAAATAAATTTTTCTTTATTTGTAATTTTCTGTTGTATGAAATTAATATCATCAATTTCAGTGAGTCTCCCATCACCTCTTAAAACTCGGTTTCAATTTCGTTTTTCCTTGAAATATCATCAGGAAATGGTGGATATAGTTATAGAATTTGAACCCTCGCCTTAAGTTCTCTTAATTCCACTTTTCTAGCATTTATTTCAGAATGCAAATCATTAAGAGTAGGTTCTTTTTTCTTATTATTTCAGTTATCCTATTGATAATGGTCTTGAAGCTTTAAGCGTTGAGTGGCTGCTTTTCGAAAGTTTTTTCTTTCCGTTTTTCTCTAGCCATATGCAAGTATTTTTCTAAAGTTTTTTTTTTTTTTGGAGAATCTTCTATTTTATCTACAAGTCTAGAATAAGACTTTCTTCTTTAGTTATTACGCAAAGATGTTAGTTGCAACTGGAATTTTCATCTTAATCAGAACAACTATTTTCAGTTGTCGACTCAAATAGTTCTTCGTCTTCAAAAACTGCTATTTCCCCATCACTTTCTAGATTAAGATTATTAATCTTATCTTTCATTTTGCGCTCATTTCTCATGTGCTCTATTTTTCCACACCTGTAGCAAACAAGAGGGTTTTCTTTACCACTAATTCCTTTTCTTTTAAAATAAAATCTTTTCTTTATAAAGTCCTTCGAGTTTTTCGGATAATGGTTATTTTCTTCTACCCTATAGGGTTTTTTATGCTTTTTATGAGGCTTTCTTGCAGATAATTTTGTAGTGGGCCTGAAATCAAATTGTTCAAAAAAGCACCTACTTCTTTCTTTTCTAAGACCCTTTGTTTTTCAAGTTGTTTTTTAAGCTTCATGTAATTACATAGTGTTAATCCTTCCGTACAGATCTCACTAGTTAATTCACCATAAATATACATATGAAAATGTATTATACCACCAAATTTGTTCCTTATCTATTGCGTACCTTTTTTGCAAAGAGAGAAGGTAATCTAGAAGCGGAAGAAGCATAAAAACATCTTTGTACCATCTGAAATAAGACAAATTGAACATTTAAGATTCATCAAAAGTTCTCTAGATCGATCTTGTTGGAGCTCAATAGTTCCAACAAAATGGAGAGGTGTAGATTAGAGTATTAAACTCTTTTTCTTTCATTTGTGCGTGTATATATATATATATATGGCAGATCTGTGACACTACTTTTTTTACACAACTTTTAACACACGTTTTTATGGAGCCTACTTCATAATGTGGTTTAACGATCCGAACCGTGTATATTTTAGAACATCATGCATAGAACATCCTTTCAAAAAATTAGACAAATCATAATCATTAAGACATTCATTTGTAATGAAAAAAAGAAGACAAATACGGTTTTACAAAGAAACCCTAAACCCTTAATCCAACAGTCATACGATTTAGATTTACGTGATTTTTGGTAGACGTGATATTTGATAGAAGACCTAAAAGATAGACGGTTCATATTAGAATAATTACAAAGTGGGCTCCACAAAAACACGTGTAAAAAGTTATGTGAAAAAATGTTGTCACGGATCCGTTATATATATGTATGTGTGCGTGGGTGTGGCCAATGATGCTTTTTTGTTGTGGGGTGTGCTATCCACACACCCCATTTTACTTCTTATACACTATTTGATATTTATGTCCGTTGATCTTCTTCAATTCATCCGATCCCACGGTCGAAAATTAAAAAGGTGTGTGTGAAGTAAAATGAGGTGTATGGATATCACACCCTTTTGTTGTGTGTTAAGAGTGGTTTGTGTTTACAGCATTGTAATAGTTGTGTCTAAATCATAAAGCTGAGTTGTAAACTTGTTTGAATTTTACCTCTTAACTGGATTCTCCTTGTATCATTCAACTGCAACTTCATCGCCCTCGGGATCACTCATGTTCTTGACGCGGAGTTCAACAACCCTCAGATCCCGCAGATGTTGCAAAATCTCTTGGAGAAGATCCACCCCTTTGTCTCCCTTCTTCATGGAGCTCATGCAGTGCTTGAGAAACTCCCTGTCTGCTTCAAGAGCTTGTAGCCTCTCATATACATGATCCACCTCCTCTTCAATGGCTATTTTTCCATCATTCAATTCGAAATTGGTAATTGAGTTCTGCATTATTTCAATTGATTCTGATTGATCAACGTGTTCTTCATGAGTTAACCCTTCTTCGCTTTCATTGTCAGTTGCATCCAAAAGTGGAAGAAGCCTCTTTGCCATGGAATCCAATGTCTTTTCCTCGGGATGATATCTATCTATCCCATTTTCTTCTGGACTGCTAACATCATGATTCTCTTCGGAGTATTTGAGGCTGTACGTTGGGGAATGCTCAACTAGCTTAAAGTCCTCGGCGAATTCCTCATTTGCACCCAATGTGATTAGCTTCTCCTCCAAGGCTTTGAGCTGATCCAGAATGGACAGCCTCTCTTCCTCGAATCCTGCTAGTGATTCATCAAGAACACTCATATTTTTAACACAATCCAGAGCCAAATCTTCCAAACTCAGACCTGAATCGTCTGTGGTATTGTTTTTGTCATTGCTTTCTTGATGGCCACCGAAGCCACTTTCTTCGTCCCTCGCTTCAACATTAAGATCAATCGATAGCGCATCACTATCCCATGACTGGCTGCAAGAAGCAGAAGAATTCCTACTTCTTATACTTCCATATTTAATTCTGCTCATGGTCCTTGCCTTCTCTTTTTCCTCATAATCTTGGACTTTCTTTTGATATATTTCCAATTCTCTCTCTAGTTCTTGCTTTTCCTTCTCCTTCTTGTTCATCAGATCATTCAGAAGTTGTAAGGCGTCCTGGTCGTACTCGGATTGTTCTTCCATCATCCTCTGGTATTGCAATGCCTCCATTTGCATTGCTGCCTTCTCTTCTTGAAGCCTTGTTATCATAGCCATAGTCTGGTTGGCGGCAATTGCAGACGCACTCCTCTCTTCCTCTAGTTCTGCATATAAAGAACTTAGAGATTTGCGCTCAGCTGTCAGCGCTTCTTTGAGCCGTCCAATGGTTGTAAAAGGATCCCTCTCTTCTGTCTCACTCACAGCACTTCCATCCAAATACTCTTCCACTGCCGACTCCATTTTATCATCTGGTTTCTTGTGCAAGGAACAAAGACTGTTTACAGATGTTGGTGAGTCAGGAATCTCCTCTTCCTCTCGTTCTTGAGCCTTTTCAGGCATACTTGTTTCTCCTTGCGGTGTAGCTGCTACAGCATGCCTTGTACCTGTCAAAATTAAATTTACCATAAAATCCAGCTCTTTCTTATGTAAGAATTACACTACTTACAGTACTAAATGTCCTTCGTCAAACGAATTTTTGTATCTAGGTGGAGGTAAGATATGATCTTGAGATTTACCGTAATCACTCTGAGCCGAGAATGTATCAGGTACATTGGGAATTTCAAAGCACGGCGAAGAAGAACCTTCTTGAGCCCGAGGGTGATCACTTGCACGGTCATACTCTTCTGTGTTCGCAAAAATACTTTCTTCTTCAGATGCTGCAGTTAATTAAGAAATCAGAATGCAAAATAAACTTACAGTGAAAAAAGTTGATGAATAATTACAATCTTCTGTACCTGGTGGATCATTTCGTTCTTTCTTATCGGGTTCTTCAATTCGAACAAATAATATTTGAGCTCCTGGAGCAGTGACAACTTCGTCACATGGCTTGCGAACCAAATCTTGTTTTCCCTCTTCTGCGTCTACGTCAGAAGAGTTATCAGTAACACCCCTGGACATATCTAAGCTTTCGACTTCTCCATTACCTGTGTTAACTGCACTCTCGTTTGCCACAAGTACTAATGATGCTTCTCCGGAGAGTTGACGTTCAGATCCGATGTTTGACTCAGAAGCGAAATTTAACTCTTTATGATCATGCTCTCTCACCTCCTCCTCTTTTACATTGCGGGTTACTTGGTCTACTGTAGTTGAAAAATCGATCAACTCAACGGGAATCAACCGATGATTGTGAGCATAGATCAAACCATTCTCGCAAGATAGGGGGATGATTTCAAGAGAGTAATCTTCTTCAAAGCAACACTGAATGCTAGTAGCACTAGCATCGGAAGATCGATGGACAAGTTTCGTGCTGTTAGAATCTGACCGCGCAATGTCAAGAGAACCTCCTTTGTTATCTTCATCTGCATCATTTTCTTGACATAGCAATACTGATCTAGACCTTGGACAATCTTCCACTGCAATGCCTCCGAAGCTAGAACTGCAAACATCCGATGTAAGTTGTTGCCCGTCTGCCACTCTGTCGTCCTCATGTTCTTCATTCGTTGTCTCCAACTCATAGCCATTGTCACTGTGAGTTGACAGGCTATCGGGTTTATTTGCACTTTGATACTGACCTCCATTGTTTCCATCATCCACAGCTTCTACAGCTGAATTCCCTTTCCGCGCATACTCCAAAGAACCGCAACAAGGTTCGGAACAAGGACGGTGAAACATATTGGATATCTGAGTGGCATGGCTCTGACATACAACATCTGTATAAGAGTCGTTTGAGCTCTTGCCTTGTTCCAAGACGCCTTCGATTCTAGGAGTACACAACGGACAAGGTGGTTTCAGGCCGAAGTAGTTGGCATATTTGTTGATCAAGTAACCGAGCAAAGAGTTGAGGAGGAGGAGTATTATCAAAATCCATTCAAGAACAGCATAGACTAGAATTACAATCAACTTGGGAGTGTTCCTGTGCAACATGCTTGCAAACTTGTTGGTTGCCATGGATGTAGAGAGCGAGAGAGAGAGAGAGAGAGAGAGATGCTTTTCACGTTTAGACAGAAAAATGAAGACTGAGCTGTTGCAAGAGAAGCAGACTTGCTTCCCGGTCCGTTGTAAGTTCGTTTACAGTAAAAAATATGTTATTTTTCTTCTGTATCAAAGGGGGATCGGAGCAGGGATCCGTCTTCAACATTAAAAAGAGAAATATCATTAGAAACATCTGTTAAATACAATATAAACGCACCCGTAGAATCTACACCTGAAATTTTAGCTCTCAAGTTTAAAGTGATGATCACTATCCTAAGAGCAATTTAGAACAAGTATTATGTAATTAATTTGTACTTATTAATTGTTAATCAAATACATATGAATGCTACTTGGGATTCTTCTTATATTTGGTATTAAAGCGAGAGGCAGGGAATGATGAACACATGGGTTGTCAACACTCAGCAGTGACAGGCACGGTGGAAAAGCTAACAAGGAAAAAGAAAAAGTGAGTGGAAAAAAGGGATGGAATTGGATCAAATTGGGGGCTTTTTGAAGAGTGAATGAGAGCCTTTGTATAAATAAAGGTGGTTGTATAATATCTGCTTTTGCTCATGGGCCTCTATATGTTTTCTTTAACTTTTCAAAAGTTCATTATTGGGTTTCAGAAACATAAAGAAATGTAAATCAAAGAACCTAACCAAACCTTCCTTGAAATGTTTAAGGTGAGTGATTTCCGCACGCTCATATTTTCTCTTTTGATATTTATGATTATTCATGACTTTGGATTTGAATAAATTAAGGAGAATCAATGGACTATTGAATTGAATAAATGAAAGAAATCAATGGACATGAATAAACATGAGTGTGTAAGACAAGAAGTGAAACGTTTGAGATATTTCTCATATTTAAAGAGACGAAAAATAATAACCACACCTTTTTTTTTCTCCTCTTACACACCTATAATTATCCCTAACTGTCTGATTGAATAAATCAAACAGAGACAACTGACAGGACTAAGCAGAAATGTATAAAGAGAAAAAACAAATGGTGAGATTCTTACGTCACAAAGGTACTATTACAAAAACAAAACAAAGAAAAATGAAAAGGAAGTTAAAAAGAAAAGGTCGAGAGTTACGTAACATCCTAATAAATATCAGCCTTCTTGTAACTTATTGGTTTTGTAATACAACAATATACAAAACGATCAATAGGTCTAGAGTTCGACTAGCACTTGAATTGGTTATCGGAAAGATGAAATTACCCTTAAGACCATCTTCAAACCTGGGCTAAAAACCAAATTACCCCCCCCCAAACACTCTCCAACCCATGTTAAAATTTTAGGCTAAATGCCAAATGTTATTTCTCAGCCAAATACCCACCAGCTTTCCCCTGGGCTAAATCCCAAATATTTATCGGAATTTAATTTTTTTTAGATTAAAATGTTCATAAAATTAATTTACAATAATCTACATATTTATTTTTTTTTTTAAATTGATTTAAGAAAAAAATTAGCCTAAGTTCATTCTTTAATAATTCCGGCTAAAATTTTAGGGCAGAAGGGTTGGAGCAGAAAAGATGTTTCTGGGCTAAAAGCCAAATTTTCCGAGCTAAAAAATTTGACTTTTAACCCAAGGGTTGGAGATGGTCTAATAGATGAAGGTACAAACAACACTTAAAAAACTAGTAGGCCCACATGATGTAATGGGATATGAGTTCTCTTGTCTCTTGAAATAAAACCTCTCGAGGGGTTTTATTAGTAATGTCCTCCATACTTTTGAACAACTGGCTTGAGACCTTACAAGTCACATTTCATGTGCAAACTCACCAACTTGTGGATCATGATGAGAGAATCAATAGATTCCCAACCTTTATTTTGTTGTGGTAACCGTTTGTGAATGGAAATGATTACCACTCTCTTTTTCTCCTTTTACATGTCTTGTCTGTCCGTTGATTCTCGTTTAATTTATTCAATCTAGAGGCCATACATAAACAAGATGTACTGAAAAAAAAGAGTGCGGACACGTCTCTTAGTGAGAAGTTGAAACCGAGTTTGGCTACACCGTTATACTGTATGTTGTATAATAGGATTTGTAACACTACTAGAGCAACCTTAGAAAGCAATCTGAACAAAATTAGGTAATTTTAAGAACACGATAGGATTTGTAGTTAATGAGACGTCCTAAGTTTGAGTCCCCCATATCATCGTTGCATGGCCGTTGTGAATTATTTGACACATTTCAATAAGATAAGAAAAAGAATGCAGCATTTTATTTACAGAATTTTGATCACTTTATTGTAGTGGGGGTCTTTTATCCTACAACTAATTAAAACCTCCATGTGAAAACCTACACTACATTTGTGTAAGTACGTCAATCTGTATCTGCATTGTTGTCGGATTCTTGGCTTTCCTCACCTTGAATGGTATTTTGGTTCATCGTAAACCTCCAGCTATCTCCTTCCTCGATCTCCCATTGTTTCTTAAGTTCAAAGATTGCTTTAGAGGCTGCGGCAGCAATTGCCGGATTGCTATCTTCTGCGAGTCTCTGCAAGGAAAATGAAATGCATGAGTTTCTGGCATCATCACGGCAAAGAATGACGATTACAAATTACAGTTATTTAAATTCCAGCAAACCTGTAATGCTCCCATCCCTGCATTACCAAGAGTCCACATAGATGGAGCTGCAGCCAAAGCATTGGCTACTGCTTTCCTATGCAACAGAAAACCAACAGGTAAGAGTGGATGATATACAAATACAATACAAGTCGTGTAAGAGTCAACAGAAACTAGGGAATCAAAATTCAAACAGGCTTCCTTGTCTCTGGAATTTGTAGTATCACCCGAAAATTTATTCAGTAGCACAATTGTTTTAAATTAATGTCAGTGTTAGACTTCTATTTGGCTATTTAGCCTTATCATAGGCTAATTATAAATTTTACAGTGAAATGGATGGCAATATATAAGATGACAAACAAATTCCTAGAGGAAACATAAGTGACATCATTTGCAGCATTGTTTCCAAAAAGAAAGGCAAAGTATTTCCAAGAACATAGGTTTCCATGCGATACAGATACAGATACAGCCTTGTCCATGCACGTCAGTCAGAAGATTAAAGCATATTGCATGATTGGCTTTGTACACTTAAATTTTTTATTCATAAAAATAAAAGAAAACTAATGAAAATGGCTTGAAAACTTTGAGTTTTAATGATAAGGACAAAATAAAGGGTAAAGTGAATAGTACCAGGATTGACTTTTTAGTGTAAAAATATGATTTTTCGTTAAAGTGAACAGTACCGGATGCTTTTTGTTAAAGTTCCCTAAAAATAAAGGCCAAACAATTAGCTTATGAGGAAAATGTATGCATTTGTCAAGTCTAAGGGGGTAAGATTGTCCAAGGGGCACTATAAGATAAAATAAGTAATGCTTGCATAACTTACCGGGTATTGACATCGGGAGAACTTGAACACTCTGCCAATAACGATACACTACTTTTACCATCCATTGCATCGAGATCAATTAGAGTTGCGATTAACAGCTCAAGCTGCTCCAGATAGAAAAGATAAGTTAAATGAGTGACCCTAGAAGCAGTCTAACATAATAACATTAACTGCTTGACCAGACTTGGAACATAAATACATATAGATATGGACCTCTTCAGGATCAGTATAGTCAATTCCATCAGCTTCAAAGAGGGCAGACGCCATACTCAGTAAGCTTCCTGTACACCAGTTAAAAGATTGCAACATCCTGAATCTCAAGAAAGTAGGAACAAAGTGAACTGGAGATTTCCAGGAAAAAGGGACCTGAATTGCAGTAATGCGATCGGAAGATACTTCCCCAGGAGGGAAATCAAGACTTTTCCCATTCTTTTCAAGCATTATACGCCCCAGTATGTCATTTTCTGATATAACACCATTTTCGCTTTGCAGAGGACTGGATGTCGACACGAGATATTATAATCCAAAGGTAAATACAGAACTGATAGAAGGTAGAAAACGACAAAGGAACTTAAAAATCACAAAACAAACTTACAAATTGTACATTTTGTTCACCATCCTATCATGAATATTTTTGACAAACTGCAGATAATATGTAAAAAGTTCAGAGAACATGGAGTAACATAACTAGACATGATAGACTAGAAACATGTTCTTCCACAAGTATCCTTGTTAGTATTGCAAAACAAAATAAATTTACCTCCAGAGCCATTAGGGCATCTTTCATTGCACGTTGTTTGGCACGGAGGTCAGCACGGCGCAAATCAGCCTAAGAGAGTCAACACAGCATCAAGATGCATATTTTAGTGCATTATTATCATCATTGTATTTTCCAGAAAACTAAAATTGTTTCCAGTAACACCGCATTTTTACAATATATATTTTATATACATTACATGTATATAATGTGGAACCGAATTTTAGAAAATTTGAATTGTTTTTTAATTACACTAGACTACTATAATGGTTTTCTAAGTATTGGATGCAGATTTGAATTACTTAATTTTTTCTATTACAACATCAATGATATTGAACTATGTCTGTATCATTTATTTTTTAACATTTATACGTATGTTGATAATAAAGAAACCTGCAAGAGAAAATTCATGTACCCTCTCTTGTTTGCACTCTTGTGCATCAATCAAGCCCTTCTTTACATGCATTTGTTACAACTTTGACATCTTTTTTATTTTCTTGAATAGTTCTGTGGCTTGCTTATTTCTATTTTACACAATTAAAGCTCGTAATTTAACTACACACACTATTAGCCTATAGTTATCTAGTTTAGAGTCACAAATACCGGCAGGGCACACTGTTTTCACCTTATACGTTGCATATTCATTATAAATACAGAGTGTATGAAGCTCGTGTGTTTAATTGATGCATATTGAATGATTTCAATTTCTTCAAAGTTTCCTTCAAAATTTCTAAGTTTTGAGATACTACATCATGTCAAACAACAGAGAGAACAAAAAGTATTTGTTTCTGTGAAAGGAGTACCTCTAAGGCTCCGTCACTCCAATGCTTATCAGCAGCAGTTTTCAATCTAGACTCGGCTTTGTCTTTTAAGATCTGCAGAGGATTGTTGGTTATCAAATTAGTAAAAAAAAAACCTAAAATTCAAAGTTTTAATAAAAAAACTGCCCAGGGAAAGAAAAAAAACTGCTTATATTTAGGCCCTATATGGTGGTTAGTAAATTTTTTTCCCAGAAAAATTGGGATTAAATAATTTTTAAAAAAAAGTTGAGGGCTTAAAAATAAATACAACAAAAGTAAGCGTTTATTACAAAAGTGTTGCTTTGTGACTTACTGCTAAAAGCCCCAATAAATAATACACATACCATAGCAATATGATGAAGGAGCTCAGCTTTCTTCTTCACATTACGGTCAATTTTCTCAGTATCCTCTCTTGCCCGGGCTACAGAGCAGAAGGTCAGGATAACAACATCATAAGTTTCTTGAGAAAGATGACTGCATGTTTATGCAACCAAAAGAATAGAACCAAATAATCCATTCTCCCATTACATAAACAGAAAGAAATAAGAAGCCAGAAGTTCTAATAGGAGAATAATATTCATCCACGAACATAAACTCATACAAATTCTGTACACTAAACTAATTGATGTTTGGCTAGAGTGAAAGACAAGTGGAATGGAATCCATTCCATTCCTTGGTTGAGTGCTCATTCCCCAAAATGAACATTCGAAGGAACCTGAAATCGTGGAATCAGCATACACCCATTTTATTGTGATGAGGTGTCCTTATCTTCTCCTACTCTGCCAGTGCCACTAACTGCCTCATCTAACTTCATCTACAACAGCCCACCCCTTTACAGGTTTATAAGCC